AATCGACAAAGATTTATGAAGCAAGTTTAATATAACGCCATGGGCGAAAAATATACATAAGTTCAGAGTAAATACATGTACAAACTCAACACATAAAGAATACACAAAGAGGAAGAGAAATGAACCACAAATCTACCAGTTTGTCAGTGCCGATTGATGAGCAATCCACCCTGGATCATCCGTATGCAAGCTTCAATGTTGTTTTCTAAGCTAATCATATCCAAAAATGAAGGTTAATGGAGTTAGGATCAAAAATACCCAAAACCATACCCAAAAAAATGTGTTTTTACCCCTAAATACGCATTTCTGATTGCCTGCATCGCTGGGTGACCAAAAAGCGTCGTCCGGCGACCAAAAATGTGTTTTTCCACGCTTCAGGTCGCCCGACGACGCCTGACAGAGAGTTGAAAACCAGCATAAATTCAACCATAAGTTTTGAACCGTAACTCTGATTCACACACGGTCGAAAGCGTTGGAAAGCTTATTCAATGCTCTATCTAACAATGCCTAAATATAAATGCTTGAATACCTACAAAAATGATATAAAGTCAATTAAAATCCATGATATTTATACAATAACGCAATAAATACACTATAATATAAACTATACCGAATATACACTAAAGTTGAGGTTTATTGATAAAAAGAAATGAACTAAGCCGATGAGTGCTAATTATTCACACTCAAATTCATAATAATTTAGCACTACCTAGATGCCACACGTTACCATCTAGATGTGATAAACAAGCAGGAAAGTATCTATCATCACCGGGAGACAAGGATGCTTTATGGTCACCCGACGGTGGTGTGAAGATTTCCATACTTTTTTTGCTACTTTTGCCATATTTTGGGGGAACTTTTCAGCAACTTTTGTACTTTGGAGGGAAGAAAAACCTCATTAAGGGAAGAGAAACCCTTGTTCTACATATCATAACATAGAAACCCTTGTTCTTGATTACTAGAGAGAAAAACATTCTTTTATCTTGAATCAATGAGACTTGAAGATTGATGTTCATCAATATTCATTGCTTATTTATTGATCAAGGTATCATGACCATGAGTAGCTAAGCATATTTTGTGTCAAGGTTAGAAGTAGTTAACCTATACTTTATATATTTCTTTTAATCATTTTGTATATGAACTTGGTTGATGATTAATACATGTTGAATATCTTTGTTATCATTGTTCTTTTTATGGTTTAGATCATTATTGAGAAGTAAGTTCCAAGTTTGACCTAAGATATTCATCTACTAAAAAAAAATCTCTACACATAGATTTGTGAGTTAGTATTCACTTGTATCAAGCTTTAAAGATTATCATGATAATAGTTCGGTTGAGAGATCATTTAATGATTAGCATGATAATACTCACAATATTGCTTAGACATGAGAAATATTGAGAGGATACGTGAACGTATCGATCATTAATTAGTTCATATGCGTGATTAATCGAATATATTTGGAATAGGTTGATGAAAACTAATCTTAACATGCCTTTTTTTAATCAAAACAAGCATTTTCAAACAAAAATCTCTCTTTTATCCAAATCACAATATAATGCATAAAACTTAATCTTGTGTTACTAAAAGCAAATACTAAAACTTTGTTTATGATTCAAACACTTAAAGTCACTAAAACTATAGAACGACATTAATATCACACTAATCCCTGAGGAAAAAGATAATATAGACGTGTCCGCAGAGATTGGTTATTGAATTGTCGTTCGACAAATATCTCGTTAATGAGTTTGAGGATAAATGAGTTTGTAAAGAAAATGTTCAACAGAAAATAAATGTAAACAAAAGTAAAAACTAAGGAAGAACTTATCAAGCCTGCATATAATCTACTCATCACAGGCTTAAATCTATCGACCAGTTACATTGAATCTAACAATACTCATCAATATCACTACGTATCACTCACAACCTAAGTCATTTCTAACCCAAATTAAGAGACCGACTGTATTACCAAAGAAATGATCTCTCTACCTCCTCAATAACACAGAAGATAACTTATGTAATCACACTGACGATCTCTCAATACAACACAACCACACAGAGGAATTAAGCTTTGATACCCAAGTAGATGTCAGCTCTAAATCTATCTCTAGAGTTCAGAAACTAACAGATAATCATCCTATATAAGAATCTAAGCATTATATGTCTATAACAACTCAAATCCCTAGCACAGAGAAAAAATCTAAGATAATAATTGACAAAGATTTGTAAAGCAAGTTTAATATAACACCATGGACTACAAATATACACGAGTTTAAAGTAAATACATATACAAACTCAACACATAAAGAATACACAAAGAAGAAGAGAAATGAACCACAAATCTACCGGTTTGTCAGCGCCGATTGAAGAGAAATCCATCCCGGATCATCTGTATGCAAGCTTCAATGTTGTTTTCTAAGTTCTAACTATCAAAAAAATGAAGGATGATGGAGTTGGGGTCAAAAATACCCAAAACTCTACCAAAAAAAAATGTGTTTTTACCCCTAAATACGCATTTCTCACTGTCCTGCATCGTCCGACGACCAAAATTGCATTTTCTCCACGCTTCAAGTTGCCACAGCGTCGCCAGACGAACAAAAAGCGTCGCCCACCGACGGTTGACAGAAAGTTGAAAAACCAGCATAGATTCAACCATAAGTTTTGAACCGTAACTCTGATTCGCGCACGGTCGGAAGCGTTGGAAAGCTTATTGAATGCTCTATCTAACAATGCCTAAATATCAATGCTTGAATACCTATAAAAATGAGATAAAATCAATTAAACTCAATGATATTTATACAATAACACAATAAATACACTAATAACGTAAAATATACCAAATATACACTAAAGTTGAGATTTATTGACAAAAAACAAACGAATTAAGTCGATGAGTGCTAATTATTCACACTGAAATTCACAACAATTTAGCATTCATCATCTCACATACTCATATCTTATTAATCTTTCTAAATAATTTACTTTCTCTATCTCAAAATAAAAATCGTTTAAAATTATTATACAAAAATTAAAAAAAAATGTTTGAATTAATAAAAATAATATATTTATAAAATTACTCTTAATTACTATTGATTGTTATACATTGTTTACCAAAAAAATAAAAAAAACTATTATTTTGAAACATTAACAAGAAAAATACTTATTTTGAAATCAAGGGAATACAATGTTAAAAAAATGTAAATTTACAAAAAAAAATTCTTCTTGAAATAGATAATATTTGCAAGAAAAATATAATTAAAATTCGAAGCTAGTTTTAAATATCTTGTTGAATTTTCGATTGGTGTTAAATTTTATATACATAATTTATAAGATAATAGCTTTCAATCTAAAGTGAATTTTATTATACAGATATGGAGTAAATAATTATTATAGATATAATATTATTAAGTTTGATTTTATATATATATATATATATATATATATATATATATATATATATATATATATATATATATATATATATATATATATATATATATATATATATATATATATATATATATATATATATATATATATATATATATATATATATATATATATATATATATATATATATATATATATTTATTTATTTATTTATTTTCGAGAGTGTCACTTTTAATTAAATAAAAAAATAATCAAAAATTGTTGAAATTTATAGCATATGCTCTTGATTAATTTACTCTTTTGTTTTTAACTAAAACCGACGTAATCAATTTTTTTTATAAAAGAAAATGGTGTATTCCAGAATTATATTTCAATTTTTTGATATATAATGTAAAATTGATGTTATAAAATATAATTTTTCCTATAATGATAGGAATTAAGACTTTGGATAAAAGAACCGATGAGGATAGTGGAAGCATTTTTTTTATAGAAAACATTTTATATTTTAATTTTAATTTTTAATTCAAATTTTATTTTTAATTATAAAATTTTGATCAATTTTTCCGAATGAGAAAGAATTATAATTGAGAGTAAAGATAAAAAAATGTGATAAAAAAAGTCATTTTATAATATTTCTAAGACTAAACATATTTAATCTATAATTGTTTAACATTGTAAGCCACTAATTTATTTAAAGCATTTTTTAATATGTAAAAGCATTTTTATATGAGAAATTATAATACTCTGATAATATAATAATTTTTTACACTAATACTCAATGAACACCGATAATACACATCAATAAAACTCTTTCTTTATTTAATGTCTAAACTTCTTAATTTAACGTTGCACATATTTACTAATCTAGTATAAAATTTTAATAAATAATCTAAAAAAAAGTCTTTAGTATTTTTAGTAAAGAAATAAACTTTATAAAAATAAAAACCAGAGATTAAGTATAATATTTAATTAAAATTTATTAAAAAATAGTAAAGTTTACCATTGAATCGGGTCAATATCATACTGCTCATGAAAATGGCTTGTAAATACAATTTCCTTTAATTGGATAAAAATTTTAAGTTATATCTATAAAATAAAATTTAATCATAAAAAACTATCCAACATTACGATTTACAATTTTTAGTGGTCCAAATAATTTAAAATTGCTTATTGACTTACAATAACATAAATAATACAAGAAAATAATGAACAATAATATAAATAACACGTCAATAAAAAAATTGATAAATTATTTTTTTAAATGCAAATGTGTAAAAAGAGATCATAACTGTTTAAATTTAAAATAGAAGAATCAATGAATTTAAATAAAAAACTAAAATTGTTTTTAAATTTCTTAAATATAAATAAAAAGTTAAAGTATTTAGTCAAAATTTATATAAAATAATTTAACATTGACTATTAACATTAATATTATTTTACAATTAAACTGTAATTCATTGTATGAAATCTTTATTCAAATAGTGTAACTCAGAAACTTTAACAAATAGTAGTGTCAAGAGATAGAGATTTTTTTAATATATTACCATAAATATAATGAAGCTCTATTAATATAAATATAATGTTCTCTTAAATATGAAAATGTGTAAAAAAAATGACATCAATAGTGAGGAAGTCAAGTATATCACCAAGAAACTGTTGGATTAAGTTGGATATTAATGGACATAGTGCCTTACTTGATGTAGACAAATATGAACTTATGCGTCAAGTTCGAGTGGATGCACGTGATCTTAGAATTCTTGATCCTATTCTTGCTTACCCTTCTGCCATTTTAGGAAGAGAAGAGGTTATTGTTCTTAACTTGGAGGTATCATTCACTTATCTTTTCTTATCAGATTCAAATATTTTATTGTTATTATTTTATTATATGTTATAATTAATTTTTTGTTTTCAGCACATCAAGGCAATCATCACAGCTAAAGAGGTTAGTAATTTTTTATTGAAAAAATTAAGAAAGTTGTAATATGTTTCTAGGGTTTAAGATGGATCTTAATTTCCTCATGACTAAATTATTTGATTATTAGGTGTTTTTGCTAGACCCAACAGATGAAGATGTTGTCCCTGTTGTTAGGGAACTACAAAGGAGATTGTTTATCATTGACACAAATCAGGAAGATGGTCAAAACAATAGTTCACTTGAAGTTGAAGTAGATGAGGATGATGGTATGTTTCATCCTAATTATACCTCTTTTAAAATGAAAATCTTATAATATTGTACCTCTTTTTAATTTCATAGTAACCAGCGGCTAAATATACAAATTAAATGGATAAGAACAATTTATTAAATAATTTTTAAAATATTTCAATCCAATTTATCAAATTAACTTAAAAACCATAAGATTTATTCATTATCATACTTTTAAAACTATGTATTTTTCATTTTTACAAAAAAAAAAATCATTTTATAAAAACTTAATAAAAATATAATCTTTTAAAAATCAGAATTTTTTTTTTACTACTGTTTTATATAATTGAAATTAAAAAATCTGATATACGATTTATTATAAATACGTATTAATAATTATAAATAGTAATTATGTGAATATCAATTAACTGAACAAAAGAAGATAAATTTTATAAATGATAATTATAGTCGTATAATGTGAATTTAAATAATACTTATGTGATAACATGAATTTCTTACTTGTTTTAAAAAGAGAATTCTTTTCTTTTTGGTAAAAAAAAAACAAAAAGTTATCAAAAGAAAATTATATAAATAATATTTAATAAATAATTTGAAAATTAAGGTATAAATTAATTTTTTTATTAATTAATAAAAATATTATAATTACTTTTCTTTTCTTTTTTTAATGATCAATTTATAAAATAAATTTATAATCACATAATAAAAATATAATTTATAAAAACATAAATAAAAATATAATCAATAGATAAAAACATAATAAAAATATAATTTTTAAAGTCAGAATAGTTTCTAAATTGAAAGATAAAAGTTACACACAAACATTGTTTTGAAAGAGAATACTTTTCTTTTTGGGAAGAAAAAAAAACAAAAAGTTATCAAAATATAATTATATAAATAACATTTAATAAATAGTTTAAAAATTAAGGTATAAATTAATATTTTTTATTAATTAATAAAAATATTATCATTACTTTTCTTTTCTTTACAAAAAATATAATCAAATTATAATAACATAATAAAAATATAGTTTTGTAAAAGTCAGGATACTTTCTAAATTGAAAGATAAAAGTCACACACAAACAAATGTCATTGTTTTAAAAAGAGAATACTTTTCTTTTTGGTAAAAAAAAACAAAAATTTATCAAAAGATAATTATATAAATAAAATGTAATAAATAATTTAAAATTTAAGGTATAAATTATTATTTTATATTAGTTCATAAAAATATTATCATTACTTTTTATTTTGTTTGACTAAATAATTGATATATAGTTAAATAATTTTTTTTGAAGAATAGTATTTTGATAATTAAATGATTTATAAATAGTATTTTTTTTTAGATTCATAATTTTGATATACTCTTATTTTATTGTTCACGAATTTACACATTTAACTTCATTTTATTTAATTTCTGAATTAATTAATTTTCTTTATTTTTCTTCAAAGCAATATGATCTAAATATGAAATGTAGATTCACCTTTCGAATTCCGAGCACTGGAGATATTTCTTGAAGCAATATGTAGCTTCCTGGATGCACGAGTTGCTGATTTGGAGATGGATACTTATCCTACATTAGATGAACTTACTACTATGGTATAAACATCATGGTTTCAATATTTTATTGTTTCTTTTTTTAATGATCATTTGATATTTTTGAATTACTCATATGTTTAGATCAGTGGTCGAAATTTGGACAAAATTCGTAAGTTGAAGAATAAAATAACAAGGCTGACTGCTAGAGTTCAAAAGGTAAGAGAAGAGATTGAACACTTAATGGATGATGAGGAAGACATGGCTGACTTATACTTATCAAGAAAGTTAGTATCTGCATTATCACCTAAAAGTCACTCAGGTGCTTCATCTCCCAACACAAAATCAAAAAGTGTAGCAACATATCTTAGAGATGAAAATGATGTGGATGAGATTGAAATGCTACTAGAGGTTTTACCTTTTATTTTTAGCATATGAGAAATAACCTTCCATTTTAAATTATTGAGAAAAGCTATATTAATATGTCATTTTATTCATTTTGTAGGCTTATTACATGCAAATTGATGGAACTTTGGACAGATTGTATACGGTAAGTTTCAAAGTTTTTTTTGTTTTTTTTATACATATTGTATATGCATACACATATTTTTAGATGACATTCCATATGCTATTCTGTGTTTTGTTTCTCGATGCTAAATAAATATTATTTATTTTTCAACCCTTCACATTATTGAAATATTAAATTAAATTTGTTAAAATATTAAATTTGATTTGATTTGATTTAATATTTAAATATAATCTAATTTAGGTAGACTCAAGCCCAATAAAGATTGTATATAAATAGTCTTAGTATGTATATTATTTGTATAATTCAATAATATAAATTCTTAAAACGTAACGAAACAAGTGCGATGGGAAAATGGAGTTTGGGGCGTCCGAAGAAGATGGTGTCGCTGCCAGTTTCTCTGGAGTTATCGACCCTGTCTCAGAAGAGGGTTGCAATAAGTCATCAAAAAAGCTCGAGTAGGAACAGTAATGAGGAATTTATTGAAGATGTTGTTGTTGAAGTCGAGGAAGTTATTCAGGAGAAATTCACCCCAAAGGAAACCCTACAATCTGTTGAAGGGCGGAAATTATGGGTCGATGTGCTAAACGATAACAGGAATAGTGTACTATCTCAAACTACTCCAGTTCATCCGCCAAGGTGATTTCGCCTCTCTCCAACGAGGACTTAATTCACTAATCAAACATATTACAAATCTACTTTGACAACTGCCAAAGTCTTCTTGAGTATAACCTGGCGACTGATGATGCCATTATTTACAGCAAAAGAGATTAAGAGTCTGATAGATTCTAACCTGACGACTGGAGCAAAGGTTTCTGCATAGTCTATCTCCTCTTGCTGACTATAACCTTGTGCAACCAGTCGTGCCTTGTTTCTGATGACTTCTCCTTGCTCATTCAGTTTGTTTCTGAACACCCATTTTGTTCCAATGACGTTGAACCCTTTTGGTTTGGAAACCAGATCCCATACGTTATTTCTGGTGAATTGGTTTAACTCCTCCTGCATTGTCAGAATCCAGTCGTTGTCCAGAAGAGCTTCATCAATTGTTGTTGGTTCAATAAGAAATACCAATCCCATGAGGGATTCTTTAGAGTTTCTGAATGTTGATCTTGTTCTAATTGAATCATCCTTCTTTCCCAAAATCTTATCTTCAGGGTGAGCTATGCTGCTTCTGGATAATTTTTTCTGGAGTGGATCAACAGAAGGTACTAGAATGCTTGTGACATTTCCTTCTGACGTTGTTGGAGCATCTCTGTTGGGAACTTCTGATGAGTTGCCTTCAACACTTGTGAATTCAACTTCTATATCTGCAAAGGATTCATTCTACTTTGACTTTTAAGGATCAAGCTTATCATCAAATCTAACACTGATTGACTCTTTAACAATCTGTGTTTCTGTATTGTATACTCTGTACCCTCTTGAGCATTCAGAGTATCTTAACATAACACACTTTTGTGCTTTGAAGTCAAACTTTTTCAGATGATCTTTAGTATTCAAAATAAAACAAGTACATCCAAAAGGATGGAAATAAGAAATGTTGGGCTTTTTGTTCTTCCACAATTCATATGGAGTCTTTTCCAGAATAAGTCTTATAGAGATTCTATTCTGAATATAACACGTTGTGTTAATTGCTTCTACCCAGAAGATCTTAGCAATGTTAGTCTCATTGATCATGGTTCTGGTAATTTCTTGCAATGTTCTGTTCTTTCGTTCTACAACTCCATTTTGTTGGGGAGTTCTAGGACAAGAGAAATCATGTGAAATGCCTTTTTCATTAAAAATGTTTCAAATTTTTTGTTTTCAAACTCTACACCATGATCACTTCTGACTTTGACAATTCTAAGATCCTTTTCATTCTGAACTTGGTTACAAAAAGCAACAAACACAGAATATGACTCGTCCTTGTGTCTTAAGAACTTTACCCATGTCCATCTGCTATAGTCATCTACGATCACTAACCCATACTTCTTGCCACTAACAGACGTAATTTTCACTGGTCCAAATAAATCTATGTGAAGAAGTTCTAATGGCCTAGAGGTGGAAACACCATTTTTAGCTTTAAAAGCAGGTTTTGCAAATTTTCCTTTCTGACATGCTTCACACAGAGCATCTGAGCTGAACTTCAGATTAGGAAGTCCTCTGACCAGATTGAGTTTGTTAATCTGAGATATTCTTCTCATACTAACATACCCCAATCTTCTGTGCCAGACCCATTGCTCGTTGTTAACAGAAAGAAGGCATTTTACATTCTGACTCTTTAGTTCAGAAAGTTTTATCTTATAAATGTTGTTTTTCCTCTTTCCATTAAACAGGATAGTTCCATCTTTCTGACTAACAACTTTGCATGAATTTTGATTAAAGATTATATCATAACCTTTATCACTTAATTGACTTATGGATAACAAGTTATTCATCAATCCATCAACTAACATCATATTATTAATAGAAGGAAGGTTACCATTACCTACTGTTCCAGAGCCAATGATCTTCCCTCTTTGGTTGCCTCCAAAGGCCATGTAGCCTCCAGGTTTAAGTTCCAGGATTTGGAACATATGCTTTCTTCCCGTCATGTGTTGAGAGCATCCAGAGTCCAGGTACCATGACTGGTGTTTTAGCATTGATGCTAAAGATATCTCTTCTGTGTCTGATTCTGAGTCTGACCAAGATGTTTCACTGTCTTCTGTCACATTAGCCATAAGAGCAATGTTGGCTCTTTCATCATCTGATTCTGATTCTACGTCAGAAGTATCTGAATCATCCCATGTTTCCATGAGACTTTTCTTCTTTTCCTTGATGAACTTCTTTTTGGGCTTCTCCTTCTGAAGCCTTGGACAATCACTTTTGTAGTGCCCCTGTTCATTGCACTCATAACAGATGATGTCTCTATTATTTGACTTCCTGTGACCAGACGAAGCTTCAGACCTTTTGTGTCCAGAGGAGGGCTTAGACTTTCTATATCCGGAGGAGGATTCATTCTGATTCCCTGATCTTCTAGAGTTTCTGAATTTTCTTTGCCTCTGCTTCCACAGCTGATTGACCCTTCTAGAGAGAAGAGACAATTTGTCTTCTTCTGATGAGGATCCATTATAGGTTTCTTCCATAGCCTGAAAACCTTAGAATCAAGTTTCTTGTTATATTTTAATGCTAAAGGCTTATCTTGCTTATGAGGCTCGTCATCTTCTAGCTCTATCTCATGGCTTCTGAGGAAGCTAACAAGTTCCTCCAAAGATATCTTGTTGAGATCTTTAGCCAGCTTAAGAGCAGTGACCATTGGCCTCCATTGCTTTGGTAAACTTCTAATGATCTTCTTTACGTGATCAGCAGTAGAATACCCTTTTTCAAGGTCTCTCAGTCCAGCAACTAGGATCTGGAATCTTGAGAACATTACTTCTATGGATTCACTGTCTTCCATCTTGAAAGCTTCATATTTCTGAATGAGCGCAATGGCCTTGGTTTCTTTAACTTGTATGTTGCCTTCATGCGTCATTCTCAGAGAGTCAAACATGTTTTGGGTTGTCTCTCTGTTTGAGATCTTCTCATACTCTGAGTATGAGATGGCACTGAGAAGAATTATTCTGGCCTTATGATGGTTTCTGAAATCATGCTTTTGTTGGTCAGACATTCTTTTTCTATCTATCTTCTGACCACTTTCATCCACTGGATGCATGTATCCATCAATTACCATATCTCATAAGTCAGCATCATGATCCAGAAAGAAGCTCTCAATTCTATCTTTCCAGTAGTCAAAATTTTCTCCATCAAAGACTGGAGGTTTGCCGCTGATTCTGTCCTTGTCATCGTGATAGTCATTGTTGATGTTTTGGCTTGGTCCTACCATAGTGTTTTTCTAAAGCTTGGATCTTGTACTGACACGGTTAAGTGTATGAACTCAGAACCAAGTGCTCTGATGCCAATTGAAGAAGTGAAAAACACAAGAAGGGGGGGGGGGGGGGGGTTGAATTGAACTTTAAAAATCAAAAGCAATAGACTCGAGATTTTTATCCTGGTTCGCATGATCTCAAACTACTCCAGTCCATCCGCCAAGGTGATTTCGCCTCTCTCCAATGAGGACTTAATTCACTAATCAAACATATTACAAATCTACTTTGACATCTGCCAAAGTCTTTTTGAGTATAACCACAACCCGGTTTTTCTCAAGGAAAATATCTTAATCAAAGAAAAGTTTACTGTGTACTATTTGTTTTCGTTACAAAAACGGTATCACTACTGTGATGTATTACACAAATTTAAAGTAGAATGAATATGAATTTTTGCAGCCTTTTTGAGAATGTGTGGAGCATTCGTGAGAAAATCGTAAATGATTTACCCTTTGAACTTGTTTTTATAGGCGTGGAAATATGTCCAAATTGAAACGTGATAATGGACACTTAATGCACTTTCCATACTGAGAAGATTCTTGTCTGAATGAAGTCGTTGCGTATGATACTGCCTTAATGGAAAAGTAACGCTTCAGAACTTAGGAATCTTGCATGCTGCTTTACTTTAGAGCTTTGATAAGTCAGAGACATGAGGATCTGTTGGCGCGTTAGACTTTTGTTCAGAATCAGGATATCTTTTACTTTAGCGCAGATTCTGATCATCATACATCAGAACATTCTGATTACCCAACATGAATGCTTTTGTGGCTTAACTTCTGATATCGTTTTAGTCAGAACTTCTGTACAACATAAAACACAAATTTAGAGTGCATATTTGTTCTTTGTGTTTGTTATCATCAAAACTCTTATAAGGGTTGTAGAATCAAATTATGTTTTAACAAGATTGTATACGGTAAGTTTCAAAGTTTTTTTTTTGGTTTTTTTTTACATATTGTATATGCATACACATATTTTTACATGACATTCCATATGCTATTCTGTGTTTTATTTCTCGATGCTAAATAAATATTATTTATTTTTCAACCTTTCACGTTATTGAAATATTAAATTAAATTTGTTAAAATATTAAATTTGATTTGATTTAATATTTAAATATAATCTAAGTTGGGTAGACTCAAGCCCAAT